GGTTTTGGTTGGCCACCCAGATGACTTCTATAGATTCTTTTTTTTGCTTTGTTAAAGAACACTGACAGTTTTATTAGTGAGCATGTTAACATACCATTCTGTAAACTGTTTATTACTTTAGCCCTATCAGTTCTGTGTAATTTTAAATTAGGTCATTTTACTTAAATTGTATTATTTCATAAATAACCCTGAAATAATCAGTGCTTTGTGTACATGTTCTTCAGATGTTTATCCTACAGTTGAGATAGATTTGTATTGATCTGTAAGTTCATGCATTCAACAAATGTTTAATGAATACTCAGTATGTACAAGACCCAGTACTACCCTTGTGAACTGTAGGTATGATCACAACATAGTCTTACTCTTAGAGAGGCTTTTTGTCTTATATTCCATGCAGACATGTAGGCAGATATTAAAAAGTTATTCAGCACTTCCATTAGAAGTTTATTTAATCAGGTTGGTTGGCAGGACATGTGCCTAGGATGCCCTCCTAGAATAAGTAAGTCTAAACTGAGAATTGTAAACTAAGTAGGGATTAGGCAGGGAAGGGGCACGGCATTAAGAAGAAAGAATATTCAAGGAAGAAACTTGAAGATGGAAAAGACTCTGAGAAGATGGGAAAATGAAATAAGTTTAACACGTGTTTTGTCAGATGGCTGGGCAAGGAGTGACTGTGCAAAATGCTGCCTCATTCAGCTAGTAGATTGTGAATCTGACTTAACTGGTGCTAAATTAGGTATTTCTAAGCATTTTATTATGCAGTCCAAAAGTGACAAGTGTTTATGTGCCCCAGTGTGTATCCATGTGTTTTTAAGTTGACATGGCACTGAGCTTATGTAGTAAAACAGAAAAGGATGGACTATCGATCAAGCGTATAGTGTCCTCATAATCGTACTTAAAGCAGAGTGATGCATCATTGTTCTTTAAGATTCTAGTTTAATATTTTGTGATACAGCTATTTAGAGGACCATTTGTTTTGATGCTTGGTTTAATGGCAGTTAAACCCGAGATCAAAAGGGAGAGTATGGCTACACTTTTGAAAACATGTCATTTTTCCCCCTCAAACTTCATTACCATTTCTGGAAATGTTTTATTGAAATGTGACTCTTTCAGTTTCCATCTGTCTTGTAGTTTTCCTTTCAAGTTAACTAAAATATACTTTTACAGTAATAGGTTAACAATTAATTGAAAGTTTCTATCTGGATGATTCTTTTCTAAAGATTAGAATATCTGCTTCTAATTTAAAAAAAATTTATGAATTTGGTATATGGTCTCACTATGCTGCTTGGATTCATACTGATCATCCTGTTTTCAGCCTCCCCAGTGCTGGGCATACAGGCACCTGCCACCATACGGAGTTGCCTACCACTCCTGGTTGCCGGCTTAGCGAGCCTGGGGGCAGGGCCGCGCAGCATGTGGTAATGGGGATCGAACCCAAGTCCTTGGCACTTGGCTAAGCAGGGGCTTAGTCTGTTGAGCCGTCTCATCAGTGTTGCTTCTGATTTTTTAAAAGAATGCAGCTGTCAGTGTTGGGGATAGTTTTCAGTAGCAGAATCATTTAACAGTAGAAATGTTTGCAGGTAGCCAATTTTCAAATACTCGTTACAACAATGTGTTTTTCCTTTAAAAAAGTATTTGGAGCTTAGGGATGTAGCTTAGTGGTAGGGCACTTGCCTAGCATGCTTCAGGTCCTAGGTTTGATCTCCAGAACTGAGAGAAAAAACCCACCATTTTTATTTTACAGGGACAGATTGATTTTTAAAATATGTTAGCTGCATATGACTTATAGTCTTGCTAAGTGTGTAACAAGTTTGAAACACTAGTCTTTATTTAAAAAAATTATTAGGGCCAGCCAAATAGTTCAGTGGACTAAAGCACCTGTTTAGGTAGAGTGCAGCAGCTGGGTTCCATCCCTGGCATGCCATGCTGGCCCTGCCCCCAGGGTGTGCTGAGACAGCGAGTGAGACTGGGCATGGTGGCCTGTAATCCCAGCACTTGGGAGGCTGAAAACAGGAGAATCACTGTGAGTCCAATCTACGTGGTGAGACCCTGTAGACTCTGTACCAAATACATAAAAAAAATTGTGACTCATCTATGTTTAACAAATCTTTTAAGTACTTACCTTGTAAAAATGATACAGGGAGGAAAACTGATCTCGGGTGGGTGACCTCCAAATGATATAGGGAACCTCCAAATGACAGGGAAAAATGATCTCCTGACCTGACCTGGACGAGTTTGTGTTCTCTAAAACCGAAGAATGAATTTTAGGAACAAACGGAGGTTATGAGCAGAACATATTTATTAAGGGAAAGAAAGCTCCTGTCCAAGAGAGGGACAGGAAGGGGGTCCGAGTGGGTAGTACCCCCAGAAGCTGTCTCTTCTAGGGACTTTTATAGTGTAAAACCATGCAGGGCTAAGGTGGAGAGAATGAGAACTCTGGATGCGGGGCGGGACGAAACTGTGGTCAACCAAAGGGATTACAAGCCCCATTGCTCAGGTAAAACTATTAGGCCCAGGACCAAGTGGGGTAACCAGTCACCTAGCAGGCGGGCATGAATGTAGAACGGGACACCTTATCTGGTGGCCTTCAGATGATGATCCTTCCCGACTAATGCACATTCCTGGAGGCCACTTTAGGGAGATCGGCCTGTGTTTGCTCTTTAGGTCGGGTGCACAGCAGGAGCCTCCGCCTGCAGCTGCGAGGCGCCTGACTGTTGCCGCCCCCTGAGGGCCCCCTCTTTGCCTGCCTGTGATGTTCTGTCTTATTCAAAGCCTGCGACAGCAGCTCGAGTCCCTGCATGGCTCTTAGGAAATGATTTTTGTGGCTACTTCCTGCTTCTTAGGGAGTGTAGTGAAGAGGATATTATAAATTAGATAAAATAATAAATTATGTAGAGCAACCTCAGCACATCCCACAGCCATTTGTGTGTTCCTTTGGTTTTTATCTGCAGCAGTAGTTTACCCCTGAAGGTAACAGTGAATGACTTTCTTATAAGGGCTGTATCTTTATAATCTTACTCTCTTTTCAAAAAAGTTCCATGAGAGTGGTGATTACAGTTTTTAGAGTTGAGAATATATCCTTTTCAATATGTATATTATTTCTCAGTATCTCATGAAATTGTAGTTCTTTTGATATTTTAGAATTACCCAGCGAACACTTCAAGCTGAAAGAAATAGCTCTACTGTGGCCCACTATAACAAACCTTCCATACTAAATTTATCTTGGTGTCTTAATTTAGGTTTTATAAGACCTTCTGGCTATATTTACCAGTAAAAAAATACTCAACTTATCACTATTTTGGGGCTGGTGAGATGGCTCAGTGGTCTAAAGCACCTACTTAGAACAAGCTTAGCAAAGCACAGGGACCACGGTTCAATCCCCCAGCACCACATGCCAGCCAGCCCCGCCCCCTGGTGGGCTGAGCTGGCCACACACACGCGTGCACACACACAATAAATAAATAAATAAAATTTAAAAAAAATAAAGCCTATTTAAAAAAAAAAAAACTTATCACTATTTTGTTTTTCAAGTATCATTTCAGACATTTTTGCTCTGCTTTGTGTCTTTTCTTTGAAGGAAACTTAGCAGCTTTGTAATTTACTAATGTTAATGCAATTTTGTGAAGTGCTATATTAAATAGTCTATGACTATAAACATAGATGGAAAAACTATAGAATTTTATCTGATGCAGTGAATACTTAAAGCTCTGGCAGATTTTGAGAATTTTGTTGGTCCTGGTAGGTTACATTTCAAGGCAGTAATTTTTGTTGAAGAGAGGTTTGAACGGTGGTTTTTCTTAATTGCTAGATGTGGTTCATATTCACTAGTGAGTTCTTATAAAAAACTATTTCGCAATAACTTTATTAAATTTTTGAATTTATTTCATTGCAATTTTATCAGTCAGTATTATTGGGAAAAGATGGAAAACCAATTGCAATAAGCTTGAGCAAAAAAGAATTTATTGGCTTATAAACACATTCAGGATTGGTTTCAAGGGTGTTTTAATTGGTTTTATCTACGTTCATATGTAATCATTAGTTTATCCATATCTTTTTTGCCTTTGCTTTCTCTATGATAGTTTTTTTTGTTGTTGTTGTTGTTGTTGTTTTTTTTTTGGTGGAACCGGGGATTTAACTCAGACACTTGGGCTTGCCAGGCAAGCGCTTATTCTACTGAGTCATCTCCCCGGCCCCTCTCTATGATAGTTTTACTGCCTTAAAGTACAAAGTTTTCCTCCACCTGGACGGTGTGGCAATAAAGAGTGCTTTTCTAGGCAGTTGTGCATATAAACTCCCATTAGTGGATCAGGAGCATGTGTCGCTACATGTGCTTTGTGTTTGGCAGTCCCCCAAACCCATGTGAAATGATGGAGGATCAGTCTTCCAGAGGAAGGGTTTGCCGCTACCACAGAGAAGAGATACGAGGAGTCAAAGCAATGATATGTTTGTTGCAGCATTTGTGGAGAACAGGGAGGCATAAATATTATTTAACATGTTTACAACGGTGCTGTAATTTGTCTATTGTGCTGTTGGGTGGCTTGAACTATCAGTGGTATGTGCATGACCTCCCATTGGGTGGCTCTTTATTAATTTTATAAGTAAAAAGACTGATAAAAGTAATTAGATGTGGGGCCTCCAGATAGCTCAGCAAGCTAAAGCGCCAGCTTAGGCAGAGCACAGCAGCTGTGCCAGCCCCGCCTGTGGGGCATGCTGAGCCGGCGATGGAGACTGGGTGCACGTGCCTGTAATGCCAGCACTTGGAGGCTGAAGGCAGGAGAATCACTGTGAGTTTAATCTACGTGTTGAGACCCTGTGTACCATGTAGACCCTGTCCTAATTTCATTAAAAAAAAGTAGTTAGATCTGTTTGTACTACCCAGTAGTACAAGTCCTTTGATGGGACAGGCATGCATGTACCACTGTTGATTCAAGCCACTGGGCTGTGTTAAGGTATAAACTATGACTTAATTTTATTTTCTGTATCATTGGCTTTTGTAGAGTATGCAAGCTGCAAGATGTCCTACAGATGAATTATCTTTAACCAACTGTGCAGTTGTGAATGAAAAGGATTTTCAGTCCAGCCAGTGAGTATCTATTTTCTTTTTTTAGGGGGATACCAAGAATCAAACTCAGAATCTTGTGCTTGCCAGGCAGGCCCTGTATTGCGCTCCTGAGCTATATCCCTGGCTCTGTTTTGTTTTAACCTGCCGAGTAGTACTTTAGGAACTTTCAGAGAGTCATGTTTTAAGAATTACTTTTCTGTTGTTTTTGCTAAGTTAGAAAATGAAGTACCACAAAAAAGAAAAGAAAGAAAATGAAAGTATGAGTTATATATTTAAACATTACTTTGTCAAATTTTGTTAAATACATTTCTAAAACCACATGTCTCTTTTTGTATATAACTTTTAATTTATTTTCTTAGAACTAAACATCCCAGTTACCTGAATTACAGCACAGTTGTTAGGTGTTTTACTCTGGAGTCAGATTGTCTCAGTTTGGATTATGGCTTTGCCAGTTATAAAATGGGTGATCGTAGATGAAGTGATTATTATCTCTGTGTGTCTATATCCTGATCTGTAAAACGGGAAAGATATTATCTTTGTCGGATAGTCAGATAGCAAGGTGCTTAGGAGATTAATAAATTCTTAATAAAGTTTAATGATTATTATTACTGTGATAATCTGAGAGACATAGAAATTAGAAGATATATAACAAATACAAATGTTTTTGGGTACTGGGGATTGAACTCAGGACTTTGTCTGTGCTAGGTGAATGCTGTTAGACTGAGCTGCATTCCCAGTCCTTTTCATTTTTATTTATTTGGTTGATTGGCTTTTTGAGATAGGGTCTCGCCAAAATGTTTGATATTTCGACAGATAGGGTAAACCGAACTGCATGTATTGCAGGTTGATAATTAGCTTCTCTTCTGGAGGGTTAACAACCTAAGTTAGCAGATCAAAACTGGAGAAAAGGAAGGGCTGCACGGTCAGCCAACATTTTGGTCCTACCCTTTCAAGGTCAGTGAAGACTCAGGACATAGGAGAACCTGAACTGTAACAACATGTAACTCGGTTATGCTCCAAATTTTCTGATCAAGAAGATTATGGAGCCACAGAGGAATGTGTTCGATGATGTGAAGTGGGCCTGGGGAGAGTCACATGGAGAGAAAAAACATTTTCTCAAGCTTTCACAGAGAGCACATTGGTGAAGCAATGGCCGTGACTCATCCTCATGTCAGACACTGAC